AACTAGTAACTTCCAATTACTACGGAACGTCTCAAAGAACTCCTACTGTCTGAGAGTTGTTCTATTAGTAACGACCTTAGAACCAACAACAAGAAACGAAATCAATTTCAGGGCGAGCAGTTCCACCTCCTCAGAGCCTTGCCCGAGGATAACAAGGATATATTAAAGAATTCCTAAGACTAAAGAAGTGCATTGTAAGTCTGTAACTGACGGCAACCAGGTCCATACGCTTCGACACAACAACCTGAAAAACCATGGTAGTTCAAATAACAGCACCATTAAAAAAATATATCAACTGTACATATTTATCTATAATATTCGTGGAATGTTAAGCTACTTTTCGTGATTTCCTCGTACAGCGCTACACCTGACTACAGAAAATAAGACCGCTAAACTTACTCGACGTTTTTCCCGGGCGAGAAAGCAGGTATATTTATTTCCTTGTCCATAGGGGCTGTGGATGTAATTATAGGAATGCATGACTGCAAGCCGCTCATCGGGAACCCATTCCTCTATTCGCAGAGATAAAAAGGCGTGCACCTGTTGAATAATTATAATGTCAGATAGATACTATGTATCGGTTCTGACTCGTACAACCCGGAAATTCGTTATTACTGCGAGTGGAGTTGCGAGTACTAAAGCCCCCAGTCACCGACAGGCTGTCTGCGTTGCTTTTGCAGCTCGTAAGCGGCTGCACATGATATGATAAATCTTCAAGGCATCTAAGGCACTTACAGAACATCGTGGTTCAGTAAGAGTGAAAAATAATCAGCTATATTCATATCGAAATACATCAGAATCAATTCAAAAACTAATAGCGTTAGTTTAAAAGTTTTAAACTTAGAACGCTCAATTAATGACGTGACGTGTTGACACGGATCAACACATTACAACACGACACATCCTAAAATTCATCACATCCTGATGTGTTAAACTGAGGTTTTAAATAGATTTCTATAAACATGGCATAATAAAAATGAGGAATCTCCACTCTGACAGACTTGTTAGATAAAGAAGAAATATTATCTGTTCCTGCAATATCGTTTATTATTTACAACTACGTACGTAAATATCATGTAATAATTAAACATAGGCATGAACTCTGTTAGGTAAAATTCGTATTTACTATTCAGTAAGTAGTTGTGTCATGTTTAAAAGAGCTTCTGAAGACAAATCAGTGTATATAAAATAATACATATTTCTATTAATGTATTAACATACCACATGTTAGTGGGTTTCCTAAGTTCTTGTACTATTAGGTGTGTTGAGTTGATTTGGTCTTTCTATTTTTCATCAAATGTTGCTCACCTTCCAATTAACATGCTTATACCCTTCATTTTTTCATTTTGTTCTTGATTCATATATCTTTTTACTTAATCATCTGACACGGAAAAATGTCCCAATCTTCTTAATTATTACAGTTGATTCTATTTGTAAATGTTTTCACCCAAAAATCTAATTTCTACTTCGGCTTAAGTGTTTCTTTAATGGTGTCCATTATTCACTACAATGACTAAGGACTATTTCATTGTTACTTAAACTGTTGAAGCTTCAGCCCACAATCCTAGTCTTTCATTTAATTTTGTCTAGATTTTCACTTTTTTTATTAACTATTTCTATGTATTTATAAAGTTTCCTTTTATTCCTTTGATCCGCGAGTTGATATGAATTTCACTAGGTATCTACGATGAGAAATCATAGATTTACGTTTTGGTTACAATAATCTTCATATTCTTTCTCTATGTAACAAATATAGGTTATATTATTTAGTCTACAAACAATTATGTTATATCTACTTTCCCCTATTCTATTTAGAAAAGTCTCATTTTCTTTTTGGTGTTTTTTTCTTTGACCAAAATTAATCCAGAAATTTTAACTGTCACAACGACATTCTACTCAACAAAGTGATGCCTCAGAACAGAGCAATGCAAAAACTTTAACCTATTGAAGGGTCGGACTGTATCATGAAGATTTTGTCCAAAATCAACTAACTCAAATTCAGTGGTGTAATTTTTACATCAGTTTTCTACATATATTTTTGTATAAGAACCTCATAAAAAACCGATTTCAAATCATTTGTTATTTTTAACCAGTTTATTTATTTAGGTATTTATTTTTTTGGGCAGCAATCTACCCAAATAAATTATACCTAAGGATTTTGGTAGTCATAGCCTGGTTTTATGATTTGTATATGGTAAATAGAAGATATAAATTTTGTTTTTGTGTCTCTTGTAACAAAATAAATAATTAAAAAATAATTTTAACGATAATTTATATGATAAAGCCCATAGTTCCCGAAGACTGATTTCAAAATATTTCCACACAATGTAATAGATAACCACTGAGCTGTTAATATATTTTCTACACATTTCATTTGAATGAGAAAAAATATGTCGCTGGTCAACTTGTCTCAACTTTTTAATATACAAGAGAAAATGTGTTACGCATACTTCAATGGATTTAATGCTATGGCAACAAATCGATACAAAAGGGTCTATCATTTTTATTATCTCCTAAATCAACAATATACTATTCAATATAACGTAATATTGCTACTTATAATGTTTTATTTAAAATTGTTTATATCAATATAAGAAAATTATTGTAACCAAAAAAAGCTATATTTCTATTAAATATTGTTAATTCCAAAAATTTAAAATTCGTGTTGCTGATGTTGAACTGACTTAAGTAAACTTTTGAGTGAAATATACAGTAAGTAATTACTCTTACTGGCGATAAGAAAATCATATTAAAATATCTGTAGACGATACTGGTGAGATAAAAAGGTATAATCGTCATTTAGCGTATTTATAAGATGCTGTAATAAAGCAAACACTATCACGGCTATAAAACGCATGTTGATCAACAAATACAAACAGAAATAGATTTGTTGTGGTGTAAAAATCTTATTTACCTACTTCTCCATTGTAAACAAATTTACTGATGGAGCCAGCAATCTTCCACATAATAAAGAGCACAGTCCACTTAATGAGTAATAAAGTTAACTTTAACAGTTAAAATATATTAAAAAAAAACATTCTACTTCACAGCTTTATGTTGATTTGCAGATTAACATGACGACACGTTTTTATCAAATAATGTCAGAATTGATTCAAGGTGTGATTATTATACAGGATGATTCTCTTTTTATGATTTGGACTTAGGGCTTATCATTCGTACACTTGTAGTATAACAACCCTAGGTTCGATCGAAAAATAAACGTACGTAGTTGTGGCCAAAAATATGTGATTGTCATAAGGAATACCTACGTTGCGTGTATCTATTTTTATTGACCGGAAGGCGCTGGCTACTAACTTTTTTTGAGGGGATGTATGGTTTAATTTTTTAAAGCAAAGACAGAGTAAATACACCTAACTTTATTATTTATGTACAACAATCTTCAAATTGAACATGTGACAAATAGAAAGAACAACAAAAACATTAACAACCATTTAACATAAAATGAGAGTGCCAGGCTCACCTAGAGCTCCTGCGAGCAAAGAGCATAGCAAAGAAACCCACGATCGTTGCTCTTACCACCCAAATACAAATACAAAACAACCGCTAACCAAAGGCACAAATTATGAACCTTTGCTAATGATAAATAAGACCTGTCTCATTTAATGTGTCACTAAATGTCATCTGATACCTCATATTAGTCATGCACACGTCCAAGTAAAACTGAAGAGGTTTGGTGTTAGTTAGCCGGCAGGGCCGGAAGGTACTGGAGTCCCATACGGGAGGCAATCCAGCTATAGTTGAGATTTCGGAAGATCCTTCATAACACTGGAGTCCCATACGGGAGGCAATCGAGCTTAATCCAGATTCGTTCAGCACGGGCGAAAATGTTAGTAAACTCAACAAGGCTCGTATAGACGTATGACATAAAGTCAGCACAAGAAGTCAAAGAACAACGTAGTCAGAATAAAACAAGTTAGATGTGAAACAAAGGAGTTGCTATTGTAATATCTGGGCAGTCACGACAAAATATACATATTTTAACATGTAATAAATAATGAGCAAACTTTAATAATAATTGTAACAATTTTATCCTAGAAAAATATACGCCCCTGAGCGTAAGACAATGAAGGCTAAACATACACAGAATTATTATCATGAAACATCTATGTTTTTCGAACAACGTAATCATGACAAAAACAAATTAGATGTGAAATAAATAAGTCGTTATTGTAATGTCTGGGCGCTCACACAGTACATATATTTTAACATGAAATAAATAATGAGCAATCGTTAATAATAATTATAAAAATTTTACCTTAGAAAAATATATGCACTTGAGCATAAAGCAATGGAAGCTAGACATACAAAGAATTATTATCATGAAACATCTATAACCATCACAATCATAAGATTACATAGAACAATTGACAACAAAGTACTTAAAGAATATTACCTGCTATCTAATACCGGTTAAACACTTAATTTTCCACTAATTTTGACACACTACCCGCCGATCGTCTTAAAACAAATTTCTTTCATAGTTTAAGAAAAAATAAATAAAGACCAAAAAAAAAAGGTTTTTTCAAGAGCTTATGTCTCTAAAAGGAAGCCTTTGAAAGAAAAAGTGTATACTTCAATATGACATTATTTTGACGAGATCTATCGATGGTTAAAGTCCTAATAATAAAAAGTGAATCGGTCTGTATTAACAACAATCAAAATCGAATGTTAAGGTCTCTGGTTTCAAGGGTCCTCTTATTTTTTCCTTTAATTTTTAGCACAGTTAAATGCGTTAAAGTATATGTAACTGCATAAATTGGTAAAAATAGTAACAACTGGTTACATTCGTGTGTTCATTCATCAGCGCATTCCATAGCAATGAACTCGAACCTTACCAACCTTGGCATTGTTTAAAAAGCTAATGACGTAGTCTAGATTTGGTAATAAATTACAATATATTAATAAAACAATGATTAATCAAAATTAGAAAAAATCAGGCAATTATCAATAATCATTCAGTGTCGTGTTTACCCTTACCATTACCATAACCACAGTATTTATTCTTTTATCATATTATGTAAAGTTGATTTTAAAGTACGACATTGTAATTAAAAAATGTTAGTTAATAATGTCTTACGCTGTCAGTTTCTTCAAGATATTGCCCCCGAAACAAACTATATCTAGTAAGTAAATAATCAATTATTGGTTAGCACCCCTATTTTCTCAATAATTATATTATTATTTTTTATTAGTTAATGTATAGTTATCAGCAATCCTAGTACAGTTATCATAATTTTGTAAAGTAGTTTAATCGACTATAATTCCAATTTTCAATCTACAAATCATCAAATTGTAACTGCGATTTCGAAATCATAGCTTGAAATTTGTCCAAACTAGTACAAAAGGGGATACATTTTTAGAATATTGATATTTAAAGAAATCCAGAAAATCTCATTTCATAAATTTGTATATGTTGTCCGGGCAGGTGGAGCAGAAAAAGTAAGCATCCGTGGAATCGATTTGATTTAAACATTTCTTTGCTCAGAAAGTTGTCAAATATTATGTAGAATGAGATTCCCAGTTTGCCTATTGCAAAAAACATAAGTCAAATTCACTAGAACAAATATACGAAAATTACGAAAAATTGCCAATTTTTGCCACATTTTTCGCTGTAACTTTAAAACAAAGCCTTAAATCAAAAAAATTTGCTCTTGTTTTTATGTTTATTTGATAATTTCCTATAAAGTTATAACAGCGAATTGAAAAATTCGAAATTTGTATTAAAAATGGGTGAAAAATAAGAAATATGGATATTTTAAGCATTCTGTAAATAGAGTTTATGTTAATAAATATTAGCGGAAGCTATGTGAAAAGATGTTTGTTATATTACGTTTCTACGATAAAAATATGGAAAATATTTACTCTTGTATATTAATGCTATCTCTCAATTTGAATTGTTCGTCATTTGATTAATTCTACAGTGCCTTCATAAATGTCCGAGACATTAAAGAACGCAGTTAACCATTAAAAAAAATGTAATGTTAAATGTACCTATTAAACTTACAAAATTTCATAACTGACTTTAACAATATGACTTAATTACATTTTATGAAGCTGTGTCCAGAGATTTGCTTGGTTTTAGGAAAGCCCTAATGCCTCGGGCATTTATGAAGGCTCGTTATAAATATCATTCAATCATATATGAAATACATGACATACATTAAAGTGACTGCATAAATGCAAGGCTCAAATATAGTAAATAAATTGTATATCTAATAAAATTTTATTAATTATTAATAGTATACAAAAATAATATTTCAGCTCGGGTACACGAAGTAGTTTATTAAAAGTGCAGGTAAAAATAATTTAACAACAGTACCACCAACAGAATCTGCAGCAAAATTTCACGCATATATAGAGTTTACTACCAAGTCCAAATGTGGATGGGAAATTTATTGAACCCAATAGACTGGTGATGGAAAATATATTTAGCAAAATGTTTGCGGAGGATAGAAAATAATATGATTCTCATATAATTAGTTAATTAAATTTTATCCATGTAATACAAAATTACTGATAATACACTCATTTATCTCTGTTATGATATGCTGGTTCTTAATAAATAACACTTATCAGTAACCGAATACAATTTTAAGATAGGTGCAGCAACTTAATACTAGATATGTATGGAATTATAGCCAATTTATTTTTTATGTATCATTTCATTCTTTTGTTGCGTTGAGGAATTAAAAAATGCGTGAATAATATGGTATCTCTACGTTGAATCATAATTAACAGTATTTTTCTATTTTTAAAATTTTTGTAAAATAAGTTGTCAATGTCAAAGGTTTTTATATAAACAAATACTTAGGTATTTTTCGACAATTACAATTACTTTAAAAGTAAAAGTAAAACGTTTGTTAACTTACAAAAAATTATTTTATTTCTAACAAAGCATATAAATATTGATTTTATTTATTTTTAATTCAAAATATACTTTTTAATGTTGTAACCGTTACCTATAAATATTAGAATACAACGATGCAAAAAGGCTATGGGGATAGGTATATTAAGATATATTTTTAAATTACGTAAGTATAATTAGCTCCACAATATACCTCTTATAATTAACAGATGTGATTGTGACAATATGTTAAAACTGAAGAAAGTAGGATTACCTTATTTCAATTGCTTCTATGGTTATTTGATGACAATACACGAATACACTTTTTGAACTTAATTGCATATTCAGTATGTCTACTTTTATTTATTATCCGTAAAAACTTAATTCTTCAACAATTTTTTTTTTCATTTAAATGGCACCGAAAACTACTTCTGCTCCTTCCACGGCTTTTAAGATGGCGATCCAAGGCCTGCTATGATTTTCATTATACCCCCGAATTTCAGTATAAACACTTAGCGATTTTTTATTTAAAATCTGATAAGGTGTTAATCAGAAACCCTGTAAAATTTGAAAAAATAAACCATACGGCTTTTAAGATGGCGATTGCTACTATGTTTTTTATATCCTCGAAATTTAATAGTTTTTTACGGATTTGTAATAAAAACGGATTTAAAATAAAAAAAAATGTTAAATTATCTTGAAGAATAAAGTTTTTACGAATTTGTACATAAATAAAAGTAGACACACTGCAGATATGTATATTATTTTGTTCGTTACCTAAAACACGGATTATATATTTTTTTAAGTAATATAAATTTTTTCATTGCGAAAATTTTATTTTTTCGTATAAAGTGCCTCTGACCGTTGCATATTATTTTTTCCGCAGAATCCACATATTTTGTATTATTAATTTTATATACGTTTTCTGTTAAAGGTGCAGCAAGTTTTGTTGCTATCATAAGGGTCTATTTGTTATTTAACAGCTTATTGCCATTTTCTTATTATTAAGTGGCTGCAAGGTTTATGTAAACAAAATAATTAGACTTATGTGATAATAATGAAATATATGTAGATATAAATTTGGTAACAAAACGTTTTTCTTTATCTCAATAATTTTTTTAAAATACAGTTTGAGAATAAATATACAAGCAAAGAAATGAAAATCAAATCTTCAATCGTCAATCGTCAAATCTTCATATTTTTTATGTATCAATAAATATTTGATGAATACTTTATTTTTTGTTGGCCAGAAGTCAATCTACGAGTGTCTGCAAAAATACTTGTTTTCGAAAATGGCATAACTGCTCACTATGGGAACAAAAAAAAAATAGTTCCGCCTGGCTACTCCTTGCCGAGAGAGTTCATTGTGGAGGGGGTGTAATAAAAGAAACAAGTGGATTGCCCTTAAAAGTGGCATAAGGTATTAAGGCTTCAAACCCGATACGAAATAGACTTTATTAACAAGCATCAGTCATATTTATCCAATGTGTTTGACTTCCGTTAAGGAGTCTGGAATGCTAAGAGATGAACGGCTGTTGAACCATTCTTCGTTCACAGTATTCACAAAAGGCCCTCGTGAGATATAAGACTGACGACGCGGTGCCTTAGTTTAAATCTCCTGTCACATCGTGTGAAGAGTGTGTAAAATGTCTTTATTATCAAACGTCGCGATAACATAACTCCGTATAATATTATGTAGACAGTTTCCTTCAGTATTCAAGATAGGAACACCAAGGTTAGTACAAATAAAAAACTTTGTTTTTTTAACGCAATTTAAAAACACAGCAACTTATTTTACTTTTGTGTATGAACAGCACGTGTACCGTGAGAAATCGAATAAACATCATCAATGTTATTTTATTTTAGATGTTCGATCAGTTATTCGAACACTTCAGTACCCTGAGCTATTTGGTAGTCGTGCTATTTTTTATATTGCTGGGATACCGTCCACCTTGGTGGAGCCGCAAGTCTTTGGATTGCAGGAAGCGCGATGTGCAAGATATACCGGGCCCTCTGTCTCTCCCGGTCCTGGGCACGCGATGGATCTTTTCTTTCGGCAGCTACAGCTTTGAGAAGATCCACGAGTTCTACGAGGATATGCAACGGAAGTACGGTACCATTATGAAAGAAGAAGCGTTGTTTAATGTGCCAGTGATAAGCGTTTTCGAAAAACAGGACATTGAAAAAGTGCTCAAAAGTACCAGCAAGTTCCCTATTCGTCCGCCTACCGAAGCAATTGCATGGTACCGAAGAAGTAAACCCGAAAGGTACGCTAGTACCGGACTTGTTAACGAACAAGGTAGGATTATTTAAAAAAATACATTTAATTTTAATTAAATACAAAAAAGACCTATATATGTAATTCACGCGTACTACCTGTAAATAGCTAGGTATATGTTACCCGTGCAATTTATTAAATCGACTTTAAAATAAAACGTCAAAAACAATCAAAAAAACCTTTCAGAAACAATCAAGCATTGAGAGAAAGATATGATTATCATTATACTGCTAATGAGTTAAAATAGCACTATTTCTAATTTATTTTTCAAACTAATCCAAACCAAAATGAGATATTTTAAAAAAGCAAAAGATCAAAAAATAAATTATTGTCTTTATTAATACACGTATTTTTTTCTGCACAAATTTATTAAAAATGTAAACAAATTATCAGTGATATAACTGGTTTAAAAATAAATTATACATTCACTGTCCAGCTGTTATTTCCAAATATTTTTTAACTTTTAATTTCGAAGCGGATGGAGTGATTTATTTATAATTATAAATCTAATAACGAAGTACCTGCTCAAGTAAATATAGAAACAAAAAATAAGTAATACAGTTAATATTTAATAATGTAGATAATATCTGTAGTTAGAACACAATAAAAGCATGAGGATAATAACTACCTATTGTAATTAATTGGTTCCGGTTTTTTAGTTTAAAATGTATAATTCGCATTTTTAATAACAATTACAAACAAATAAACAAACCCCTTCCCTTTATTTTTTATTTTTTTGTATACTTACTGTGCCTTTTAGAAAGTAGGAAAATACCTATTAATCTATATATACGTACTATAACTCTATTTTTATTAGATTAATAAGAATAAGAAAACGAGGTTGTTTGTTGTTTATTTTTGTATGTACAGTTGTTTATTTCCTATTATTTTACAACAGCACATACCTAAGGTTACAACATTTTAAAAATGTAAATCATGGATGCATATCAGTGTGCGCATATTAATTATCTGCGTCTGTAGATTATAAAATATTGGTATAGAATATATTATTTTAATATTTCATTTAATTAAATTTAACATAAAAATACATATTAATGGAAAAGTGTGAATTGCAAATCAACTTTTGAAACACCTTTCCTTTCCACAAAAGCATACATTCCGTGTCAACCTGAAATTGATATTTAGGTAGTCACAAGGATTTATAGGTATTTAAAAATTGTAAAACATTTATCTAGGAAGATACATATTTATTAATTAATGAATATGTTAACTGGGGAAACATTAGATTTCAGATGACGAAACATCAGTATATCGCACACGTGGTGCCATCTCATGAGTAAAAGTTTAATTGTACTTGTTGCGAGCTACAGATTACATATTTCTTTTAATTTATTTGTACCCAAGAAAATATTTTTGCATATCTTAGCACTCTTGGCAGGCCATTAGCAATTATCCAACTTGTGATAAGATATACAGGGTGTTCAAAAAATAGAAAAAGTCAAATGTGTCTTGGGTGTAATAGCCTTGTTTTTTATTATTTACCAAAAATTTTACTTAAAACGGGAGTTGTTCGAAAATAAACCTCTAAAAAAATCACTTTTTTTCTTGTTATCTTATGAGCTTGTAGAGAAAAAATATACTTTGGCAAAATATAAATACCTACAATAAATATAAATCCGTTACTTCGATACTGATGAAAAGTATCCACAGCAATACATATTTATTTAAATTTAACTTACCCATATTACAAAAAAATTGCAACCCATTGCACATAAATTATATACCGTGTAAGTAGCCCGTTAGGAACCAGGATAGTCTTATAAAATGTTATTGGGACGTTCAATTCGAAACAATTTTTTTTTATTGTGAAAATATAAGGTCCTGCCAAAAATTGTGAAAATAACTTATATACAAACTCATATACCAATCATAATTTCAGGGTCAGTAATTGGTAAATTTTTTATCTTCTGGCATTTCCGAAGTGTCCTATACTAAAACGGCAACTTTATAAATTTTAAATTGTAAGTCTTATAAAAAAAACGTTCTGCATTATAAATGATAAAATTTAATTTAAGTACAGGAGTTTTAAGTTATGTTGATTAAGCCTAAATAACCAGATTTCCATAAAGTGTTTTTCTCAGAAATGGGTTGCCAATTAGGTCATTAGGTCAGTTAAATCTAGAAGGCCATCATACCATGTATATAAAAGAAATTATAGAGGTGTCCGGTATAATACCTAGCGGATTATTATTGTTCTACATAATTATGTGTGAAGTAAAAAAAGCCTACAAATTAAATATAATAAAACTATAAAAGAATATGTTCCACCAGTTGGTGATAAAAGACAAGTCTTTCAAATTTATATTTTCAATAGTTATATAATCTTGTTCCAGGAGAAAAATGGCACTTCTTACGTACCAACTTGACTACAGACTTAACAAGTCCTAGAACTATATCAAGTTTCTTACCTCAAGTACAAGACATCGCAGAAGACTGGTGTTGTTTATTAAAAGAATTACGAAATTCAAACGATGAAATTTCAAATTTAGAACAGCTAGTGGAGCAAGTGGGCCTAGAGACATCGTGCGCATTAGTTTTAGGAAGAAGAATGGGTTTCCTACTTCAAAAAGATATATCTGAAACTGCCAGACAATTAGCAGAAGCAGTACACCAACATTTCATTTCTACAAGAGATACTTACTTCGGTCTGCCAATTTGGAAGATTTTCAATACACCTGCGTATAGTAAACTAGCAGAAAGTGAGGATATAATTTATACGTTAGCTTTAGAGTTAATCTGTACAGCAGATGAAGCTACGAAGGAAAGTGCAGTATTTCAGTCAGTGTTGAGGGCAGATATTGATGAAAGGGAAAAGACTGCCGCCATTGTCGATTTCATTGCAGCAGGTAACGACATTGTATTTAGTATATTATGTATGAAATATATTTAACTTTTTTAGGTATTCATACATTGAAGAATAGTTTAGTATTCCTTTTGTACTTAATAGCTAAACATCCAGAAACTCAAGAGAAAATATTAGGAGATTCCAGCAAAACATATTTAAAAGCGTGTGTTACAGAAATGTTTAGAGTATTACCAACTGCAAATTGTTTAGCAAGGGTTACCGAGGAGGATTTAGAACTTTCTGGCTATCGAATAAATGCAGGTAGTGTTTTGTTATGTCATACTGGTATAGCTTGCAAAGATGAAAGGAACTTTAAAAATGCCACAGAATTCTATCCGGACAGGTGGTTAAATGAACAGAGATCTCAAACCTCAAGTAATGCCACATTCTTAGTTACGCCGTTTGGTGTAGGAAAAAGGATATGTCCAGGAAAGAGATTTATCGAACAAGTACTGCCACTAATACTTGAGCACACGATAAGAAGATTTGAACTAAGGACTGTAAAACCCATGGAATTACAGTTTGAATTTTTAGTGTCACCTAAGGGTCCCACTTCTATGATTTTTAAGGATAGATTTTAATTATCTTTTAATTCTTTCAGTTATTGGGAATGGCTAAAAGAATTGTTTCAAGTACAAAGTAAGATACATAGGTTTGTATGGTGTTTTCGGCTGTGTCTGATCAGGATTCAATTTTGTATACATTTTAGAGTGTTAGTTAAGACTCAAAAGGTCTTATTTCTTTTACTATATTATATGTTTCACATAGTTTAATAAATGTTTTAATTATTTCTGTTTTCCTTTCTTACTGTAAATCAAAATGGCACAACATAAAAACTATTACTATTCCACTAAAAATAGATTAAAATAAACACAAATATTAGACACTTACCTGATTCGAGGAAATGCCTTAAAAATGCTTTAATTTTCAATTTACTATATAGCAGAACGGCGGAATATTTAACTATACTCCGCGGTCGAAATTATAGAGAGTGATTCAGACATAATATAAAAATAGTATTACCATAATGCGTATAAAATATAAAATGATTTTTATACGAATCAATATTATTTGTCTTTGTGCCGCTCGCTACGCACATCGATAAAATCTATAATCGTCTATAGACTGAGTTACACTGAACGTCGATCTATATTCTATCTCTGTCTTTTGCACTTGTTAGGGAATAGGGAAATGCTTTTTTAGTGGGTGTAAACAGACTTGATTTATCCGTCCTGAGAAACGTCATAGCATAAACGTAGACGAGGGGGGTCTAGTTCAATGACTATAATAAATTTATAAATTAAAGAAACACAACTGGGACATTTTAAAATGCTGTAATAATTAAAATGGATCAAAGTGCCGATTATAGCAAACCCTAAAAAAATATTAGATGTTATGTTTTATTATCTTTTTTCAATATTTTCTATATTTTGTTGCCTTTTACGCAGACACGCCAATGGATTTTCATTTCCGGCACGCTTCATCCCCCTTACTAGTCCAACAGCTAGCGATGAGTCACTCTCTATAATTTCGACCGTGCAGTATAGTGATTTTGTTTTTAGCTCTAGTAAATTAGATTTTCATAAATTGGTGTTTAAATAGTTACTGAAGAAAAATCATGGGCCATTAACAGTCTGTATCACAGATTAGTAAAAGGTTTTATAGACTGGTAAATCGCTACTTCCCGCCAGTCGCGTTATGCAACGCTTGTTTTGACAAATTTCCATACTACAAAGAAACAAATTTTACTAGTTACGTACTTTAAAGTCCATATTATTTAATTTTACTTTAAATATATAGGTCGGATTTATAGGTATACAAACCATTAAAGAAAACATAAAACACACCACAGAAATGAGACGACCCGCAAATCCAAAGCCAAAGGCTGTGCAGAAGGGGGCTACACTTGAAAAAACGTGGACAAACACCCATTATCTATCGACATTGCCAGTGCCGACGCCAGGGATCGAACCCCGACCAGAATAGGAAGCCTGGTCGAGAATTGCTTGCCACCTCACTCTCGACCGACTACACTACTATGGCGATTAACATTAAAAAAGCAAATGATAGACCATTTTTTTCAAAAAAGCCCCCAAAAAGGCGCACATGTGGAAACTAACTTTTACAAGATAGCAAATTGTGAAGTTATATTTACGATTTTTTTTATTTGAAATTTAGTAATACCACGTTATCCTATACTCCTTGGAATGACCTACTAGGATTAATTTTGTCAATTTTTAATAATTTTGTAAGTAAAAGTGTAAACCGTTGTTTTTCGATTTTAATTAAATAAATAAAACAAATAATATTGATAATTTAAAAATGGATACACTGTGATGGCATTTTGAAATTTTTGAGGGATGTGCAAAAAACAGATTTCAGATAAATAATTGCTAATTCAATTTTCAAACAAGCAACTCGATATTTGTAATTTAGAAAAAGATTTAAGCTTTGAAAACTTATATGCACTTTTTAAATGTCTATTTGTTTCTTACTTATTATGTTAATGGACTGTACGTCTCTAAATTGAAACACCGTATCATATCATTGTTATTTTTGCTTCATATCAAGAAATCAGAAATATTAAAAAAAATCGTAACTTAAAACCTGACTATCATGTAATTTTTTATATACAAAAAACTTATATTTTTATGCTATGAATCTGTAGTAACATTAACAGAGATTTATGTTTATTCCCATCACAAAATGATTATCACAAATTGTGATAACATTTCGCTCTACCATAAATTGCCTGACACCCGACACCTTTAAAATAATCTCTATTCTTCTCATTCTCAAACAATTGTAAAGTGGCCACCTTATGCTAATCACTATCCCTCTATTCTAGAGATCAATGATCAATGTAACGTACTGATCTTAATTGTACAGTGTCAGTATTAATTTGCCACACTTAAATTTTATTTTAGATAGTCAAAATAAGAATGTTTGAAAACATTTGAGTGATGAAACTTGGATTAATTAATGAATTACCTGATTATAGGCAAAAATCCGCTAAACTCACATATAAATTCATTAACCAGTGCCAGTCGGAGAAATACTAGGAGCCACTATCAGTTAAAACTCAGGTCAAGGTCACTGGAAATTTTGAAAATGAGAACACTGTAATTTCTAATCTAAACGATTTCAAAGAGAAATTTCTTCCATTTTAATTGAAAAATTGACCATTTTCGAGTAACCACTAAAAAAAGTTACAAAAAAGTATAAACAAATAATAAAATTAAAATGTAATTAAGTTAAAAAATATATAACTTGAAAAATGCCTGTTTTTAAAATAAAATGGAGAAGATCTTTTTCCATCGAAACATCATAAAGTAACAAGCAGTAATGAATGGCATCAAATGTATGAGGCCTTTATTTGTAGTGACTCCCTGGTTAACAGTTAATTTTTACCTTTATTTAGATGAATACTCAATCTTCAAAGATAATTTAGAAAATGTAACATTTTTTCAAATTTTCATCCCGAAAACAAAGGATTGCTAAATATTGCGTTTTTCTAAATGTAATGGCTTTCTAGCGGACTAATAATTTTTAAAAAATTTAAATATGCGACCAAATTTTTTTGGCTCCAGACAAGGGGGTCCACAAAAAATAGTCCTAAGGGGGTTACCCTTTCAAAAGCGTAGCAGCATCAGATTCAACATGTCATAAAATCCTTGTGTACCAAATTTAGTGATTCTCGTACAACAGGGTTCTGAGATATAAAAAAAGATTATTCTTAGGAGCGGATTTCAGGGGGCTGTAACTCCGACACAGGGGGCACTTGACAAAAATAAAAAATGCGGGTCCCCTAAATTTGTTTTAAGAATCTGTGACCAAATTTTGTTGCATTAATTTCGGGTATACACCTGCGCGAGAAATTTTGTCTTTTTAAAAGCCAAAGCCATGAAGTTGAATTTTCTACAGCAGTCAGGTTTTCTTATTGCTCATCAGTTTTTCGTTAAAATGTTGACTGTATGTGGTGCTTTGACGATATTGTTTGTAATTATTGATGTCATTTTCATTTTCATTTACATTTTTTTATTTGATTGAGTCACACTGAAGTGAAAGGAAGAAAGTTTTTCAAAACATAAACTATACAGGGTGATTCATTAATAATTGAACATACGCTACCTGGACAATCCTGGGCTGAAAATATGAAGAATTCACATATAATGAGGAGATAAAATATGATTTCTTATGGAGTCACAGGTGTTTTATTTAAAACATTTTTGCCCATTATTTTAACCCTGTTTGGTATATTATACTTGGTATAACGTTCAGATACTTTAGAACATATGAATAATAATAATGACAAATACATTACATAATAAAATAAAAATGATTGTGCAGCCCTATGTTTAACTTTAAGTCTCGAGAAATAATGACTTTACCACTATGAAGGAATAGTAGGTTAATTGCATAGAAAGTATTGAATGAAGACTTGAAAAATTGTATCAAAGTAAAACCACCAGTGGCGTAGAACTTAGGAATGGGAAACTGCCCCTCTACTCCAGTCGTACGCCTCTGGTAGTAGCCATGAACGATTTTGTGCATTTTTTAATATGTCTAAAGTATCCAAACTTTATGCCAAATATGATAGGGAAATATCGAACAGGGTTAAATGGGCAAAAATCATTTAACATTTTTTAAATAAAACTCCCTGTAACTCCGTAGCCATATTTTATCTATAACAGTGAATAGTATTGTGTTAATTGTTCATATTTTCAGCCCAGGATTATTCAGTTAGTGTATGTACAATTATTAATGAATCACCCTGTATAATGTGTTATAGCGAATACTGTGTTGTGAAGAATTATCGGCTCTCTCAGTACGAGATATTTCTGGTTAAGCAAAATTAATTTTGTTTGTAGGCTTCCCTAGCCGTCGTTAATGGTTGAATGATTTCCGAGCTGGTTGCCACGTCGTCAATTTACAACTCTTGACGTTTCGAGAGACATATCGCTCTCTTCTTCATAAGTTACTCTGAAGTAGTTTCAGACTCACATAATAAATTATATTTTTATGTTTCAGTATTCAACTTGACCTTCAAGGTCATTTGAAGGTCAAGTCAATTTTTTAAAGGGAACCTCTACTTTTTATTGTGGATTTGGAAAGAGCAGGAAGTTTTGCGTCCAAGGATGGTCTTGACCATGACTTTGGCAATGACCTTCAAGGTCATTCCAATGTCAAAGTTGTTTTTTCATTGGTAACCCCCATTTCTTATTATGGATTTGGAAAGAGCTGAAATTTAACCTTCAAGTACGACCTTGACTACGACTTTGACAATGACCCTCAAGATCATGTCAAAGTCAGGTTAATTTATTTACATTAACTATTATTTTTTTTTTGATAAGTTAGGAAGAACGGAAAATCAAATATACGAATATGACCATAATCAAGCTCTTGGCCTTGAACCAGTATTTGAGGTCATTTTAAAAAGTTTTCAAGAATTTTTAAAAATTTCAGTCACTATAAGGCAAGGCTAACGATCCCAAGGAATGACCAACAATCTCGGCCAGTTAAGACAAGGCTTACAACCTGTGGTCAAAATGTTCTCTGTCAACATTTTGGCAGATTCCTAGACGAACATAAGAAATTTCAATTGCACTCCTTATCATATCAGGTGTAATATCAGCGCAAACATTGACTATATTTTTGTTTTTGATCTTCTAAATCTCGTGGTTTAGGAGCGTACACTTTATTTTTTATGTAGCCCCAAAGAAAACAGTCAAGTGGACACGGATTAGAGGACCTAACTGGCCCCTCAATAGTTCCTCTCCAACCTATCCAACGATTATATCAAATACTACATCTCTCAATCGTCCGAAAATGAGCAGGTGCACCTTGACTTAATTGGTCGGGTATACACACCACCTTGCCTTAATTGATCGGGTATACACACCACCTTGTCTTAATTGGTCGGGTATACACACCACCTTGCCTTAATTACTCGGGAGTACTGCCGCACCGGGACTTTTGGATCTCGACCCACATTTGACCTTGAATGTCATGGTCAAGGTCATAGTTAAACATAAAATTTCCTGCTCTTTCCAAATCCGCGATAAAAAATAGGGGTTCCTATTTAAAAAACTTAACTTGACCTTCAAATGATCTTGAAGGTCAAAGTCAAGATCAAATCCAAGGTCACCATCAGATAGCCAGGGAAAAATCCTTACACTTTTTCTCAAAATGCATTCTTCCAAAGTTTGTGCCGTACCAGAACTTTTGGAAGTCGACCCACATTTGACCTTGAAGGTCATTGTCAAAGTCATGGTCAAGGCCATCTCTGGACGTAAAATTTCCTGCTCTTTTTAAATCCACAATAAAAAATAGGGGTTTCTATTTAAAAAACTTAACTTGACCTTCAAATGACCTTGAAGGTCAAATCCAAGGTCACTATCAGATAGCAAGGAAAAAATCCTTACACTTTTGTCTGGAACATTTTTTCCCAAAATGCATTCTTCGAAAATTTTTCTGCCGTACCGGGACTTCTGGATAACCCTGTATATATGATCATATTGTGCAGTATTTATCCTTTCTCTACACTTATATGAAAGGCATTTTTCAATCCGTAAAAACTATCCACTTGGAAATTGTTGCATTGGATTCAAATTGAGAAAAGATCTTAATTCCGTTGACTGGAATACCCGTCATTATTAAAATTATTCCACTTACCTCCGTTATGTACTGTAGGACACACCAAACAAAAACAATATTCAGAACTATATATAGAAAAATTTATTGTATGACATTGATTACTTAATAGCATTTTATTTTCTTACTCCGCTATAAATCTAACAAAAAATATTAACAAATATGAACTATTACATGTTATGATACGTAAAATACACTAACCAGTTAATTAAAAGTATTCAGTACCCCAATTTATCGTTCAGACTAGTCCGTCCATCACCTGTCTGGTCCGAGGGTGGAACCCACATGTTGTAATCTTCTCTCGTTGCGTCCTCTTCGTAGCCCCTTTGCCTTTCAAGTTCGGCTTTCTCTTGCCTGTGCTGAATCCTTCTTTGATTTTTCTTTTTCTTACGTTCATCCAAATCCGCAACATCAGATTCCGTATCTTCTTCTATAGAAGTACTTCTACTAGTACTTGTGGGCTCAGATTTTTCACTGACTGAACTTATAGTTGTAGTAGAACTCGTACAAGCTTCTGTGTCTTCCCCGACAGATTTCGACATTCCTTTTTTATAAGCCTTGAAGTCTTTGTCGATAGCCTCGGATATATTTTTAATTTCATTGCCCATCTTTTTTACCTCGTCGATCACCTTGTATTTTTGTTCCGTCATTATGTTAAGCTCAGTCAGTAGCCTGTTTAATTCCGAGGACACTTTATGTTCCAATTTCTCATTGGGTTCGCAGTGCCTCAAATCTGATATTAGTTTCATTACTTTACGTTTTTTTGCTGCTAGCATTTTCCAGTCGACGTGCATCCTGTCTTCGTTGGCAGCTAATTTTTTGAGATTGTTCAGTATTTTCTCTAACTTTTCTTGATGTTTATCTGCAACATAATACAATTTTATCTTTGCTGAATATTTCCCCATCTCTTGACAAAATAATGAGAATGCAATGATGCCAAGTTGCGGAAAATTTCCCATATTGTGGGGAAAAATAAGCTTAAAATCAAGTTAATGGGAAAGAATGAGGGAGACAAACGGCAATCAGATTTATTTGTGCGAGAAACTGCAAGAAATCGCATAGACATTCTGTGATGTTTTAAATTGAATCCAAAGTTTACGGATCTCAATTACTCAGATTTTGAAGTGGTTTATTATCGAACATTTTGAAAAAAGAAAGGTTTGTTAATTAACTAATTGCTTGTAAATTCTTCATTTATTTACCGAAGCCAAGGATTTAATATAATTCTCTATACTGTGTTTGTAGACGAAAATGAATGATTTGTAACTGTTGTTAAGAAAAATGTTTGAAAGAAATAAATGCTGTTCTATACTTCTAACTAGGCAGTACTTATTGTGGGAAAGTAAAGGTGTGTTTCCTATGGGGTGGCCGCCACACAGGGTTTGACACAAGTGACTGACGCCAGAATACACCATTTCCTATGAAGCGTTACTCGTGAGTGATCTGTCTTCAATATATGTAGTAGTATTTTGTAGGTTAAAATGTGCGGAAACAAAAAGAAATTGTTATTGGATTGGAAGGAATTGAGGACGAAGAAATTATACTGCTAAGCGTGTACAAAGAAAACACACAGGTTCATATTTTATTTAAAACTAGAACTGACGAAGGCTTTTTTCAAACTATAATAGACATTTATTGAAAGATTTTCACCAATGTTTCCCCTTCCTCTGTAGTAAATAAAACTTTGCACATTGTACAAGCACGAGTTTCACAACCTGCGCTTGACGCTTGACTGCCTCGAAAAGTAACAGTGCCACAGCCTCTGTAGCCGCCAGCATTTGACGCTCGAAAAGAAACGGACAAATTTTATTGGCACATAAGCAGTACTAGGTGTCAGACGCTGTGTCATGGTGTCTCCTAGCACTTCGTTGATACCAAAGAGATATTTTTTGTCTATTAAACAGAAATTGTTATTTTTGTATCTAGAAAAGAAATGAACACGTCAAATTTATCATGTTCTTAAAAACACTAAAATTGACAAAACAAATAAACGATTCCTAGCAATTAATTTTATTTGAAATGGGATTTGTTGTACAAACTTAATAATATTAAAGGAAATAAAAGAAAATATGGAGTAAAATATAGAATGAATATATGTTGTTATAAAAGCAACTAAAAGAATAATTTGTACTATAATAATTAATTTTGGGTTGCAAAATATATTATTTTTGAAGTATATTATTTTATAAAAATAATTTTCCGTTAGTTTAAAATTCTAGATACTTTTTGTAATGGGGAAATTTTGTCATTTCCCAAGGGAGAAAAAGGAAAAAATAAAAGGCAATATGGGAAACTTCGTTAAAATGCTATTGGCATCACTGTGCTAAAGTCCATCTAAAAATTCTAAAAATTTATAAAAGTAGGACGATGTTGTTATATCTAGTTTAGAAATTTCTCACTTAGAAAGTGTTTTAATTTTGTCATATGTTTCACATTTTACATATGAAATGGAATAAACTGATTTTTGCAAAAGGAAAGTTTTATGTTTAATTTGTTTTTTTTTTATTTATATATTATTAGCTCCAAATAAGCAAGCAACTTGTTGATTGTTTTGTTAAATAAATGGTAATGGTGTAATAGGGTTGTTGCAGCATTTTCTCAGAGCTTTTTTCTCTCCCCAAAACAAGGAAACAATAATAATGAGTTCCTAAAATCGTCTTAGGTGCTCTACAATCCTTCAAAGAATGGATGTAAACACAGTTTTTGATAAATTACTAAAAAATTATTAAAGACTTGGTGCAATCTAGTTGTCTTATAGTAGTTTTTGTGTGTGTGTGTGTGTATGTCGGAGGGTCGGAGGGGATTACTTTTCACCACGGCACTTAGGCATCACTAGACCCCTTGTACAGCCTCCTTCCTTACTCGAGTATTTTCTTCAAACCATCCTATTACTACACGGGTGACTTGGTGGCAAAGTCTCGTACAAATTTTTATGTATGATAGCATGGTCTTGAGTTACAGAGATTAATTGCTCTATTCTCATTACCATTTTTATCGGAGATCACACGCTGGCGGAAGGTGTTGAGCTACCCAGGGTCTCTGGTAGGCTGCCACAACCACAACCCCGAGCCTGCCTTAGGTCACCCATCCAATTTCCAGCCTTCGTCCGTGATGCTTAACTCGGCAGATCGAAATCCACCGGCCAAGGCACCCGGCTAGGCAACCCCTTTCTTACAGTAGTTATTTACACATAAAATTTGACCAAAAACTAACAGTGTCGTCAACGTTAGGTCAGATCTAAGAAGTTTCAAGTATTAATAAAAGTTATTTGACATCGCAGAAAATCTTTTACAGATTTAAATTTTCAAATAAATCTTTGTGCCTCTTTGGTTTTTTCACCGAATGCACTGTTTATACTTAAAAGTCCAAAATCTATACTACTAAATTAGGCAGCAGCAAAACTATATTGTATAAATTAAAGTGAACCTGTGTCAGTGTACACCCACTTTTCTCTCCAACCGCAACTAATGCACACCCATGATTGTATGTTTAGATAGCCTAGGTTGCCCCACTGATGTCTTAGTTTGGTCGGGATTATGGTGGGCTTTGTGGTAGTTGCGAGTGTGAGAAGTAGGTGAACTTAGAGCTCGAAATTTTTCGATTTCGATGGAAAATGTTTAGAAATAGTAAAATTTCTTAGAATCTCACATTTTCTATGAAGCCCTCGACTCTTTTAGAGTGGGACATGAGGTGTTCCACAAAGTTTTCGATTATTCTAGGCCCGGAAGAGAGACGTTGCAGAATAATCTCAAATCAAATGTCCTACAACGACCTGTTCTATAATGTTTGGTGTCTGAGAGTATATAAGGTGAATGTTGGAGCACTTAGCACAATCCACAATAAGAATAAATAATAAAAAAAATAATAAAAAATATGTAATGAAATAAATAAGAAAACATTAAAAGAAACAAATAAAAATGTGAAGTGAATATTAAATTCAAACTGAATATTTCAGTGAAAATAATATTATAGAATCTCTGATAGAACGCCTGAGTGTATATTATCATTTTAGTGACTGGAAAGCGGACAGCATGAGCCACCTGCCAAGTTATAAATAGAAACAACTGTTTTATACAGCAAAAGAATGATGTTAAAATGATGTTCGATAAAGATAGAAAATGTTAGAAAGAGATAGCTGTTAAATATAGAAAGAACAATTTTATAGCAAGGAAGAACGCCATTATAGGGGGAAAACGATGTTAAAAAGAAATGTTGTAGACTGAAGCCGTTGGAAAGACAGAGAGAAGACGTATCACACCATCCACTTTCGATATGACACGAAAACTGCACAGAAATACAAAAACACTGACGGAGGGTAAATCGTTTTGCTCTAATTTCATGATGTATATAATTATGGAAAGACTGAATTTATTTGTTTGAGTCATTGAAATATTCCAATTGCAAAATTTTAATTGGTTCTAATTTTACCTGGGGTAAAAATACACCTAAAGAGTGACCGCAAAAAACCTGTAATTTTCCCCCATTTTTTTACATTTCGTAGAGAATTTAAAAAAATACATAAAAAAATGTTTTTGGTCGCAAATTACTTGTCGTAAAAAACTGAAATGAGCATAGCTTTTAGTATTTTGAAAATTTTAAAAATTACCCCTACTTAGGGGCTGAAAAAATGCCAAAAATGAAGAATTTAAATATTACCAATTGATATAAAAACTATTAGCATGTGAATTATCTTAATATATATTTTTTTGGAATTTTTGCAATTATTCCTGATATTCTCTATTTTGGGGGATGATTCCACCCCCTGAACGCGCTAAGGGTGGATTTTCTAATTCAACATGCTTATTTCAGTCATGAGAATAAATCTTTCTTTGTATCAAGAATCATTCGATAGAAAAATTCACATGCTAATAGTTTTTATATTTACTGGTAATATTCAATTCTTCATTTTGGGCGTCTTTTCAACCTCTAAATAGGGGTAATTTTTCAAAAAACTAAATGCTATGTTCATCTTAATTTTTTACGACAAGTAATTTGAGACCAAAAACATATTTTTATCTTTTTTCTTTAGTTCTCTGCGAATTGTGAAAAAACGGTCGATTTTTGCGGTCACTCATTCTCATGGTTTTCAGACCTTCCATTGTGAACGGTACATTCTAGAAGAAAAATCGATAAGTACAAAAATTTTGTTAAGAAATGGTTTATTTAAATAAAATGTTAAAAATTTTTTAAACAGCTAAAATCTTTTACAGCCAATCATGGGCATAGCTAGGGAGTGTGCCGCGCACACCCCAGATAGCCCGGTACCCACCCCAGAAAAATATCTAATATTATCATTGTATCTTTGTCATATCATTTTTAGAATCAAATTTAAAAAATGTGTTCAAATTTGATATTGTAAGTTGCTAATTTGCGACGAAGCAAAACTTGTAGCTACGCCCATGGAGCTATTCTAATTCTGATGCCATTGATTAGTTTTTCTTCAGATTGTACCAGTAGGTAGCTACTAAGGAGAAATTTAATGGTACCAGATTTAAAGCCTACATACTTTCATGTTCAATCTTTGAACGATGGTAAAGCCCATACGAATCATTTTAGGAAAAATCAACTCTTTTGTTTTGTTGTTTATGTTAACTAGAACAGCATCTGCTGCGAGAGATTCTAATTGTGTGGAGAAAATTTAAAAAATAATGTTAAAAATATTTGAGAAATGTTTAAAAATGTGTCAGACGTACAGAAAATCTTGTATTATTTTCTAAAACAAATTGACCTTGCCCAATATGCCGTGGGGCAAAAATCTTGGCCACTGAATACACTGAACTTGAAGAATCAGCTCTAAAAGTTTGTCACAACGTCACTGTTATACCTAATTATTGCTAATACAACAATTGAAAAAAATATTGATTTATTTATTTTGACTGCAGAATTTTCATTCTTTTGGATTTATTTTAATGCATTAATAGAGGGATTAATTCTTTGTTAATAATAAATGCTATGTTTTGTCTACAATCATAACACTTAGAAAGCACACACCGACAGGTTAATGCAAATCGCTTTAATTTTGTCCAATACCGATGTGTTTGATAACAGTAATACAAGTTAATAAATAAATAACTCCAAAACAGTGTTTTTTTAGTAAAATTTAAGTAATATTTTTCTTAAAAAATTTTAAAAATATACTAGAGCCAAATTTCTGTAGTTCTTAGTTTTTTTACCACTGATGGACATATTTATATTAGAATTAAGTGAATTTCATATTTAATTGGATAAATAATTAAGTTTTTTTCAAATTTCAATACTCAATACTTGAAAATGAAGCATGTCCAGATATTTTCCCAAATTCAAATTTTCAGATTAATCCTGAAGAATCCTGTACAATAGCAAGAAAATAGTACCATTAATATGACAAAAGTGTTGCCTGAAAATGCAAAAGATATTTTTTTATATTCACAAAAAAATACCTGCTAAAGGCGGGAGTCCTTTCTTAAGTATCTTTTCAAATTTCTTGAAAGTCATAGTATTGTGAAGGGATTTTATAGTATTAAATTCACCAGTTTCTGTTAAATCTTCATCCGATGAATTTGAAGAAGATCCGCTGTTAACTTCCACCTCCAGGGCTGTATTTCCACTATTCTGCTCCTCTGATGTACGAGTTTCAGTATTACTAACAGGTTTCTCGTCTTCGTGTTCATTTTCTGCTACTTTCTCCTCATCTTCCTCTTCTTCTTCTTCTCCATCAACGTCCATACTTGAAACTGATTGATCAACCGCGGATCTAGTTGGCAGCTGAAGTTTAACTTTCCTCCTTTTTCCGATAACTGGCAAAATTTTACTTTTCACATCGCTACTGGTGCTTGTACTTGGAACTGGCTGTTGGGGCACTAATTCTGGTAAACTTGCAGGTTTTGCGATATTCGCCAACCTTATGACTTTGGCGTGCTCATCCTTCATTTTAGACAGTTCTAGTTTCAGCTTACTTAATGTTTGTTTGTCTGGCTTAGTGTCTTTCAGTCCTTTCATAAATGAATCCAGTGTGTCTTCTTCAGTAGTGGAATTATTATCATTGTTACTTCTTTCTTGGGCTTCTAATATTCGCTTCTCTAGATCCGCAATTGTCGCAGCAATTGATTTCTCTTTTTCAAGCTGCAAAAAATTACATGTAAGTATTAAATTTTATTTGGAAGGATGAAAGGCAAATTGAAAATTATCCACTACTAAATTAAAAAAATTGCATATAATCAGGGTGTCTGATACTCGGTCATTCGGTCATAATTAATAAGGTCGTCGTTTCTACAGGGTGTCTTGGATCACTTTAGAACAGAAATTCTTAATAAACAAGGGGTCTAAAGCTGATATCTCTCGGAAACCAGTAGCTTTAGACCCTGATTCATTAGAATTTTTAGCATAATATGTTCGAAGGAAAACACCCCTGAGGTTATGACATGGACTGCAAAGGCACTCCATATAAGTCATATTCTGCATAAAATGTTAAATAAATATAAAATATTTATTTTTTGCGTATCACGTTTCATCAAAACTTCTCAAAATAATATCAACAAGTTCACTGCTCATGCTAACATTGAGTTGACATAAGCATTTATACAGGGTGTCCCAGAATAACGTGTACAACGGAAGACCACAGACTCGTGAACTCAAAATAGGCAGATTTAGGCTAATTCACCTATATCCAAAATCACTTGGTTAGGCCGCTAGATAGCCTCAAAGTACGTGAAAATTTTTTAAATTTTGTAAATAACTCGAATACGTATTATTCGATTTTGATTATTTTTGGCGTGTGGACTTTTCCTTTCAATTTACACATTTTGGTGTTATACAGAGTGTTTTTTAAAACTCACAACTCCTACAAAATTGATGTATGTTGATAATATTCGTTCATAATTTTTTCCTCTTTTGAGCAATAATGACAACTATTTTTTATTTGATAGGTAATACCATTTGGAAGTTTTTGGACCTCTTATAAAATTTTGATTAAATGAGCTCTTGCTACCTTAGGGGCACCTCGGAATAGATTGTAATTTAAAAGAAAACATCTGTAATTTTAACTTTTGTTGATTCGGGTCAAAGAGGTCAAAAATTTGAAATACAAAAAGATTAACTAACAATAAATTGCTTTCTTTAACTTATTTTTCCAATTCATGTGAAGAGTTCCCGAAATTCCTATAGTGAATTAAGTATAGAGGAAAAGGTCACTAAAGAAACCGCAGAGGAAAATAATGAAAATAATAACGTGAAAAAATAATTCTCGGCAAATTAATTTCTTTGTATTTTTCAACAAATTTGTGACTTCATTTTTACAAAGTTTATTATATGCATTCCTTTTATACTTAAATAATTCAAAGTTAAATGTAATTTTTTTTATATATTTTACACTAAAAATAAAAAAAAATAGTTTTTATGTTGCCTAGCTGGCATTACCAACAAAAGTCAATAGTAGTGATCACTTAAGTGTAAATACAATGAATTTAATTGTAACAAAATGCCAACACAAATATCTAACTCCATTGATGAATCATAAGCTGAAATTGTTTATGTCTATCGGAATCATAGAATCGATTTATAGCTGCTAGAAAAATCCTATTATTCTTGTACAAAACAATTGAAAATAAAAAAAAGGACGATACGTGTTGACAATTTTTGACAAGAAAAATTTTTTGAGAAAAAATGCAAAAGGATATGGAAAGTGACACTGACATTACTTAAAAATTATTACATAGATTGACTTTATAGAAACAGACAATAATGCACTTACCAAGCTTTCATATGTTTCTGCCTTTTCCGGAACCTTAGCTTTCATCCTCTTTTCACGTTTCTTTTCTATAGTACCAGTCCTGTCAAGAAACGTGTCTTCGTCACTATCATAAAAGTCATTTTCTTCCCAATTTTTAGCCTTCCTTTTACGAGACTCTACAAAAAAAATTAAAGTCAGATCAAGTTCCTTTTTTTTATTCCAACACACCATACCATGTATAGCTTGGCGTAGCACTCCATGCCTATCCAATATACGACAAGCTTCGAGTGCACACTGCACAACAGCTTCTTTCTTTTTTCCCTTGTGAAGAACCTCAGCTACTATCGGTCGACCCAATTCGTCGTCAAGGGGAAGTTCAACTTTACATAGAAACTGACCTAACCCCTGTTCGTTACAATCGTATTCTAGTTCCAAACCCTCCCGCTCAAAGAAGCCTCGCAGTGCCTTTTTCGGATCATCCAAATACAGTTCCTCGTTAGTAGTCTGCGCAAATGGATTCTCCGATAGATCAGTTTCTTCATCGGCATCTTCCCCTAACAAAGTATATATTTTTTAATAAATTATAAAAAACTGTTTTTGTTAATGACTTGTGTCAAAATGAATGTACCACTAAAACCGAGTTCCAATTTCAAAACTTAATTTCCTGGGAAGGGCTAATTTTATGTTGACAATCTTTTTTTAATTAGGAATTTATTCTTCAGTAAGGCAGAAATGTTTACTTGTTATACAGGGTGCAAAAGAAAATACATTTTTTACCCCAAAACTTGCAACACCCTGTGGGTCATTTGAAGTAAAAGTGAGACAATGAATAGAAACACATTTAAAAATGTTAAAATTCACATTTAAAATTTCATGAAAACAACTATTGGTTAAGTGCAGAATAAATTTTATTCATCAATATCCGTTATTCCCACATTTTAACATGTAATGAAAGGATAAACTCTCAAGGCGATTATGAGACACACTGGAAGGCGACATTGAGACAATCGAGAACAGAAGTAGTCAACCTAATGCCTACCGCAAACAGTGGGTGATTCAAACTTTCATAATGGGCGCTAAGGTGAACTGACTAAACTTCGGACTGTCAAAAAATGATGCTAGAAATGTAATACAATATGTTCAACATACTGTGCTAAGATACTCAGGAAAGGCTGGCAGAGCCTGGTTTAAAAATTCTCAAAAAAGAAATTATTAAATCTGAAAACACCAGAACAATTAGGTCCTAGTCCTAGTATATTATATGAATTTGTATGATTTACTTGAACACATTGTGGATAAATTTAATTTGACTGGTAAATCTTTTCACACTTATAATCTAGAGTAGCAGTGCTTAACTTCCTGTTTACTGCGGACCGCCTTTCAATATTTTTTTGTTGTTGCGGACCCCCTGGGGTCCGAAGACCACAGGTTAAGAACCACTGATCTAGATGAATGATTTTCTTCAGATCAATTCAAATACAATGGAAATCATTGCATAAAAAATTCATACAATGGACGGAAAAGAATTACAAACCTTCCGGGAATTTATTAAGCTGTATTTGTTAGATCTGAGGGTGTCAATTGCAGTGCCAAAGGATCCTGGCAGACTACAAATATCATAATTTGTGGACAAACAAGTATTCTCACAAATTAAGCCTATCAGCAAATAATGTACATATTCTGACAAATTTTAATCTAAATTAAAATAAACCAGCTTTCTTTATTTTCAAGTGTTTATAATAACTTTGTTTACAGAACAATTAGAAATTTAATAAGCAAATTTTAAAATTCGCAGAAGGTTGAACGTTCATTGTTGCTAATGCAATGTGCATACTTGGCAATAATTACTGATACATTGCAAAGTTAAATAATTACTATAAATTATTTTTGTTTTAAAATTATGTAAAAACAATTTATGGAAAGCTACAAACCTAATCCCCAATCTATTCCTCTTTCTTCTTCCTTCTTTCGCATTTCTTCTTTTCGTTTTTCTGCCTCTCTAATTTCTTCTTCACGTTTTAATAACTCTTCAGCGCGCTTTTGCTTTAATTCAGTAACTGTAAATTCAGATTCTTGCTCTGCATCATCTTCAGGGCCAGTAAGAATATAAGATCTTGTACTACATCCCAATTTGAGCATATGGCCAACCTAAATATGATTAATCAAATATGTTAATTTTTGTTTTATTAAATGTTCGTCATTTATTTCCATATAATTCTCTAAAATATTTTATCTTGTATGCAAAAAGTTTATAAATCTGTCCCAATAAACATTTTTAACATAGGTATCAATAAAAAATATAAAACATATTATATATTGATCAAACATTGCTAGGCTTCGTCTACTGTCAGTCAATATAATAAACAAATGCTTTTTGTGTTAAATCAAAATTTTACATAAAATGGAATCATCCAAAGAAAAACAGTTCAAAGAACAACTAAATGAAGCACTTCAAACTTCCAGCAATACAGAAAGAAAATCTTTTGGTAAAGAAAATGTGGGAGAAAAATTACCAAATTTTTTAAAATTTGCTTCGGAAATAGCATTAAAAAAAAGCATGGGTAACACATCACTTCAAAGAATAAAAGATATATTTGAAAAAACAGAAGCTATGAAAGAAGTCGCAAAGGAAAAGAACCAACAATTGGAACAACAATTCACATTTTTAAAACAAAAACTTAGTTCAAGCTCCGAGTGTTTACTAAGAATTAAGAAAAATATTGAAAACTTAAAATTTTCATACCAAAAAAATGTCTTAGAAATGCATAGTTCATTAGATACTGGTGAAATTTTAGAACCAAAAAATGGTACGATTAAGACAAAAGAAGATATGGCAAAACATATGGAGGATATCAGAAAAAAAATTGAGGATTTACAAACTAGAATGACTGCTCAAAGAGAAAAACAGCAACATGTGACAGAAAGTTATCAGGCAGCTTTTGAACGAGTAGTAGATACCCTTCAACAAATAGAAGATGGATCTTATATCTCTCAAGACTTACAAGATGTAAAACATTAAAATTACTTACTTGTACCCTAGCATAGACTTTAGGTTTAAGCCTGTTTTTATTTAAAAATGTACCATGTGTACTTCCTAAATCATAAATATAAAATCCGCAACTATCACTTTCCGTACTTTGATATCTATATTGCAAGACGGCATGATATCTAAAATTATGATCAATAAAATTAATGTACATATAAAAATTATCGTTGAAGACTTTACCTGGATATTGTAGGATGCTGCATAGAAATATTACAGCTAGGTAATCTTCCAAATACCCAAAATGATCGTTCCATTAAATTGATTGTTTCTATAATAGCACCATTTTTTAACACTTCAAAAACGTAATGTTTTCCATTTGACTGGGGTAAACCAGACCATGAAGGTTCTTTATAAGGTAACGGTACACTATTATCCGTGGTTTGCCGATCTGTCACTATTTCCAAGTTTTCTGAAACAATTAATGACTCTTTTGATACAGAATTTTCGACATTTTGCTCAATAACATCTTTTTGTTGGTTTTCCACAGGTGCGGGTGGCTCATTGGAAGTAGTTTGTACCATTTTTCTTGGCAAACGACCGATTTTTCCTATCAATATAGGTTTTTTAAAAATACCATCTGCTTTTAATTCAGTAATTGTACGATCAGAACCGTTTACTGAATCCATTTTTATAACAAATATTAGTGATGTGTAAATATTAACCAGAAACCACTATTTATTAAAAAAGAACAACAAATAAACTGTCAAGCAACCTTACACATAACCTCCAAAGATTTTTTTATATCTGTATCTGATGGCTAACACCGACAACAGAGTAATAACAGACTAAAAATTTGACCCAATCACATCAGGTCTTGGTACTGAAATTACCACAAAAGACCTAGACACCAACTTTTTGACCCTGCGTGACTACCCCAACGATATCCCCCCCCCCCTGCCAGCTAACCTTTTCTGCAATCAGAGACAGCCAGGATCAAGAAACGAAGACAACGACACACACACCCCATACTCTCCTTTCCCCTCACCCACCCACGCTAGCCAAAGGGCCACTTTAGCAAAGCGCATCCCAGGCTGCATAGCCGCACTACCCTACCCCAAGGATTTTATATTATTTTTTGTATAAAATCCTTGACCCTACCAAACCATACCACACATAAACATGACACCACCGGTTTTACACAGACGAGCCGGCAAAGCAAGAAGAGCACCAGAAAAAAGGGCCCTAGCCGGCGGGGCTCAGCCTGGACAAAAGGAGGTCCCACAAAGCGCCTACACCGGCCGCATTTCAGTTCAGAGCGAACAGCCGAGCAGTTCAGAGCGAACAGCCGAGCTGAGCGGACGTGTTTGTTTGTGAGGTGAAGTGCATTGCAACGAGCAAGATCTACTTGCCTTTATTAATGCTA